GGGACACGCCCGACTCAACGTTGGACCTCCCCCCCCTCCCTGGCGCGCGGAGCGCGCCAGCGAGGGGGGGGCCTGGCGCCGACCAAGAGAGGTCCGCGCGGAGCTTCGAGAACGCCTGCTCGGGCCGCTCTGCCTTCGTCGGTCGACGCCCCCCGGACATCGCGCCTCGTGGAGCCCGGCCACGCTCGCGTCCTGGGGAGAAACCACAAGGTGCCGATGCCGCTACTCTCAGGTCGGGCATGTCCTCCTACAGGCGGATTCTCGGCGAGAGACGGAAAAGGGCACAAAAGAATGCTCAAAAGCCATCTAGCAGAATCAAAAAAAAAACGTCCCCACACGTTTTTTCAGAATGTTTAATTTTCCTCCTGTAGAGTGACCTGCCCGACTTAACGCTACTCACCAGACCTCTCCCGGGGTGCGTTCTGACCCGAATCCTGGAGCGGACCCAGCCCTGGCGACGATGGCCGCCCAGAAGACCCCAAAAAGACGAAAACGAGGCAGAGGGTAGCGCGGCATCTCGCAGGGGGGCCGAGCGCTCCCAGGGGCCGGCGCGAGGGGGAACGGCAGGGGGGGACCCGCTCAGACGGGAAACATCGACCCGGAATCGGCGATACACCTCCGACGGGTCAGCGGCAAGCCCCTGGTGGCGAACCCGCACGGTCCTGGGCCGGGCGGGCAATCGGGCCCCCACCGGCGATCGAGGGGCGGCGGAGGGCCGATGCGTTCCCCGGTGAGCCCATCCCGCCCCATTGACGGCACCCCAGATGGTGACTCGAGAAGCGGCGGCGAGCGGGGGGGGGCGGCAGGGGAGGCGGGCCTGCTCCAGAGGCCCGGAAGGCCCCCCGCCTTCTGCAAGAGAGGTCTGCGCCCTGTCTCCGCGAGGACAGAGGCGGCCTCTCAGAAGGCCGGAGGGCTCCCGAGGAGCCCCGCCGCCCTCCGAGAGGGCCCGCCCCCTCTCGCGTCCCCCCGGGCTCGCCGCTGGGGGGAGATCGGTGAGTGGCTTTCCCTCCTCGGGCGTCCGGCTCGTAGCTCCCGCCGTGCGGGAAGAAACCCTCGTGATGGGCCGGTTTCCCACCACCGCTGCCACGTGCAGGACGGGGGAGAGGAGAAGAGGGGGAGATCCTCCTCCTCCTCCTCCTCCTCATCATCATCATCATCATCCTCCTCTTCCTCTTCTGCTCATCATGATTAGTGTTATTCTTCTTATTCGTACAACTTGTATTGTCATTAGTCGTAGTATATGGTTAGTCTTCTTTTTAGTGTTAGTATTGTTATTATTCGTTTTACTATTATTTGTATTCGTTGTCTTAGCATTGTGTTTCTTCTTCTTAGTATTCGAATTATTCTTCTTAGTATGATTGTTCCTCTTCCTCTTCCTCTTCCTCTTCCTCCTCCTCGTCCTCCTCCTCCACCTCCACCTCCACCTCCACCTCCTCCTCCTCCTCCCTCCTCCTCCTCCCTCCTCCTCCTCCTCCTCCTCCTCCTCCTCCTCCTCCTCCTCCTCCTCCTCCTCCTCCTCCTCCTCCTCCTCCTCCTCCTCCTCCTCCTCCTCCTCCTCCTCCTCCTCCCTCCTCCTCCTCCTCCTCCTCCTCCTCCTCCTCCTCCTCCCTCCTCCTCCTCCTCCTCTCCTCCTCCTCTCCTCCTCCTCCTCCCTCTCCTTCCTCTCCTCCCCCTGGCAGCGGTGGTCCCAGACCCCCGACGTCATGATTTTTTCACTACGTCGACCCCCGAGGTCCCGACCCATTCCTCGGAACCGGCGCTTCGTCCTGCATCGTTCTTGGACGGCCCCAAGGGCCCGGGAAGGGCCCCCTGGAGGCCGAGCATGGCGATAAAAAAAACCTCGTAACTTTCTCATGGCTCGAGGGGGTCTGGGGCTTACCAGCCTGGAACATATCCCTACCCCTATGTTGGGCATCGCCTCGTCACGATGGCGATCTTAGGGATCTCCCAGTTTCTGAGGGTGCCTCCCTGAGATGGTTATCTCCTCTTAGCGTGTCAATCTTAGGGATAGGGATAACTTCGAGGCTGACGAGGAGGAGGAGGAGGAGAAGGATAAGGAAGAAGAGGAAGAAGAGGAGGAGGAGGAGGATAAGGAAGAAGAAGAGGAGGAGGAGGAGGAGGAGGAGGAGACGCCTGGCGGTGGGACCGCACATGGAGGTGCTCAACGTGTTGGACTGTGCATGTGGACTCCGCGGGGCGTCCGCCCCTGGGGATGGGAGAGAGAGAGAGGAGGGGGAGAGAGAGGGATGTCAATCTTAGGGATAGGGAGGGGCGGAAGCTCAGCCCACCACCTCGGGGGCCAGCCCGCCGACCCAGCCCAGCCCCTTGGCGGCCAGCAGCGCCGCGCCCCGCGCGGGCGCGTGCTGCGCCTCGCCGGCCACCGCCACGCGGGCGCCGAGCACGTCCGCGAGCGTCCGCGCCCGGGCGCCGCGCGCCCGCGTGCCGGGCCAGCTTGAGAGCGAGGGGCAACGATGGGCGTCCAGACTAGTTCTGGTTCGCTGGGAAAAATCGGGGGTGGAGGTCGAGGTCGTTTTCACTCAACGAGGTCGTTGTCACTAAACCTATGTCGTTCCCGTCCTACTTGAGGGCCGCATCCCAGAAACAATGTCGAGCCCCCGGAGAAGTGTCAAGAGAGTGTCGAGACAGTGTCCAAACAGTGTCGGGCGAGTGCCCCAGGGCCCGACACGTGAAAACCCTTGAGTTTCGGTACTTTTTGGGGCGCTCGAAATCCCACCAGCCCTTTGGGCGTGAGTGGTTTAGAAAGCTCTCTCTGTTCTCAACCCCCTATCTTCCCCTTCGGGGAGGGGTTTACCCATCCCCCTACCCCCTCCCCCTGGACCTGGAGAGGGAGTTCCGAGTGGTGTCAAGGGGGTCTATTTCGACTCCTCGGAGGGCCAAAAAACGACGACCCTCACGAGGATTCTGGCCCCGGGGGGGGGGGGGCAGTTTGGCGCCTCAGCTCGTCTTCGAAGTCAAAAACATTGATTTTACGAGGGTTGTGGCCCCATTTTGGCCTTCTGAGGGGGCCGCGCTCATCTTCCCTCATAGCAAAATCATTGGTTTTACGAAGGTTTGGGGCTCATTTTGTCCTTCTCAGGGGGCAGCTCTCCTTTGCGCTTCTGCGGAGGTCGCAAGAGGCCCCAAGATGGCCCCAAGAGGCCCCCAGGAGGCTCCCAAGAGGCCTCCAAGAGGCCCCCCAGAAGCCCCCAAGCGGCCCCAAGAGGCCCCCAAGAGGCCCCCAAGAGGCCCCCAAGAGGCCCCCAAGAGGCCCCCAAGAGGCCCCCCCAAGAGGCCCCCAAGAGGCCCCCAAGAGGCCCCCAAGAGGCCCCAAGAGGAGCCCCAAGAGGCCCCCAAGACCCCCACGAGGAGCCCGAACGACTCACATCAGGACGAGGGGCCCGAACGACTCACACCACGAAGAGCCCGAACGACTCACACCACAAGGAGGGGCCCGAACGACTCACACCAGGACGAGGCGCCCGAACGACTCACACCACGAGGAGCCCGAAGGACTCACACCACGACGCGGGCCCCGAACGACTCACACCACGAGGAGCCCGAACGAGTCACACCAGGAGGAGGGGCCCGAACGACTCACACCAGGATGAGGGGCCCGAACAACTCACACCACGAGAAGCCCGAACGACTCACACCAGGACGAAGAGCCCGAACGACTCACACCACGAAGAGCCCGAACGACTCACACCAGGAAGAAGGGCCCGAACGACTCACACCAGGACGAGAAACCCCAAACGACTCAAATCACGAGGAGCGCTTTCTCTCCCTCCTCCTCCGCCTCGTCCTTCTCCCGCTCCCCCACAAGGAGGATGTACAAGGAGGCGGGAGGAAGGAGGAACAGGGGAGATATGCGGGGCCAAGCGGACACACGCCTGAAAAACACGACTGTCGGCATGCTTCGCGAGAGTTGCTGCAGTGAGATGGGCTGGTGGGGATACGCGAAGCGTAAAGAATTCTTCTTGGCGGTCAAGGCTAAAGTAGGTTGGAGCATCATAACACTAAACCACGTTTTACCAAAGCGGGTTCTGTCCATCCCCGAAGAAAGCCTCGCAATCCGTTTTCTGACGGTCCTGGGGACAGGCGAGGGCCCCCAGGAGGCCGAAGATTGCTCTGGTTTTCCGCGCTAGCTGCCGCTAGATCTTCCGAACTCCACAGTCAAAGAGGGGGGGCGGTCTGATCTGAGGGGTGGTCTGATCCCATACCCCCTCGGGCAATGAAAAAATCATGACGGTTTTTTGTTTTCCGTATTTTCGGCCTCGAGGCCCTGACCGGCCCTCGGGACCGTCCAAGAACGCTGGAGGATAAAAGACCGGTCCAGGGGAATGGGTCGAGACCCCTGAGGGTCGACGTTATGAAAAAATCATGACGTCGGGGGTCTGGGGGAGGAAACAGCGACCTGGAATCGGCGATGCCTCGCCGATGGATCGTCCGATCGGCCCCGATCGTGAATCCGCACGTTCCTGGGCAGGCTGGGGCCGGTCGGCCCCCGAGTGGCGATCCATGGGCGATTGGGGGCCGGTACATCCCCCTCCTCTGCTTATCCCCACCTGTCGCCGATAGATCGGCGATGGGCCCCGATAATGAATCCGAACGTTCCGGGGCAATGTCGGCCCCGACTGGCGATCAATGGGCGACTGGGGGTCGGTGCATCCCCCCCCTACAGTGGAGGCTAGTCCACAAGAAACCTTCCACAAGAAACCCAACCCTGCCCCAGGACGTCCACTTTTTTGGCGTGGGAACGCCACGCTCTCCATAGCAAAACCCTTCAAGCAAAGAAACCAAGGGCACCCTGGAGGCAAGCAGGGCGTTTCTTGGCATGGGCCCACACTGTATACCTACCCCCCCCTGTCGTTTCCCCTCAGACAAGGCCCGCACGGGCTCGCGCCGTGAACAAAAGAATCGCGACGGGAGGCCTGTGGCAATCATCTTCGGCCAGTCGTTTGTCTTGCTCCCCCCCCCGCAGGCGACGAAGACGCCACGACCCGAGGGCACAGCGGGTCGCCGCAGCAGGGCTGCGCCACCACGAGCGGCCGAGGAGCGCCCGGGCGCTCCCAGCCTCCGTGAGGACGGGGAGGGGGTCGCGGGCCTCCCAGACGAGCAGTGGCTAGACTCCCCCCCAGACTCAGGTCGGGCGTGCCCCCCTACAGGGGGATTTTCGACGATAAAAAATACAAAAAAATGCTCCAAAAATAATCCAAAAATAGTCTGGGGACCATTCTTTCATATTTGTTGGTCATTTGGGGGCATTTTTTGAATATTTTTAATTTTTCGCCGAAAATCCCCCTGTAGGGGGACACGCCCGACCTACTGCTGGACTCCCCCCCCAGACCAGCCATGAAAGGGCGGCCTTTTGTAAGGAAGCGAACTCTGCTCTGTACACCGACGCGTTTTCCGACCCTGCGCTGGAATTCGCACAGGAACGCGGATTCTGGTGTATACGGGAGCCTGGTGTATACATGTTTTGCTGTTTCCCTGGGAAAACGGGAAAAAAGTATACACCACACCACCCCGACGTCGTCCCCGACCCTCAAAAAAGTCCTGGGATTGACAAGCCGCCCGCCACTGGTAGTGTATGCATATGTTCCAGTTTCCGATTTTGCCCAGAGCCCCCTTTGGAGCCCGCCAAGACGGCCTCAATCAGACCACCCCCCAAAAATCGGTGGTCCCAAAACCGTGTGGCGACAGACCCGGCGGTGACCTCCAACTCCGCAAAGACCTCACCGCACGGTCCGTCGCCGCACGGTTTCGGGACCCTGGAGGCTCCAGTCGCCCGCGACATCCCCGGAGAACGACCGAATCCCCACCGACTCACCACACGGTGCGGTCACCACCCCGTTTGGGGGCCCCCGACCAAATCAGACCGCCCCCCCTGTGACTGTGGACTCCGGAAGAGCTGGCGCGGAAAACCAGAGCAACCTTCGGCCTCCTGGTGGCCCTCGCCTGTCCCCAGGACCGTCAGAAAACGATTCGCAAGGCTTTCTTCGGGGATGAACAGAACCCGCTTTAGTAAAACGTGGTTTAGTGAAAACGACCTCGGGCCCAAACCTGGCGGGCGTAAGCCTGGAAAGTGACAGGCGCGGCGCCCTCTCGAGCACCGAAAACGGACAGTTCACTGATGGACGTGTCTGGGTGGGGGTTCTGTCCACCCCCGAGTTTTCCCAGCGAACCAGAAATAGTTTGGACGTCCATTGCTCCAGATCCGTCTGGAGGTGCCGCGTGCTTGGAACGACGGGCCATACGTCTGCCATGCCCAGCGGGGACACCGGGGAGAACGGTCGGGACCTCCGAGGCCCCCACTTGGAAAGATCAGGACGTCGCACGTCTGGCCAGACGTGCTCGCGGCGTGGGCCAGACGTCGCACACCCGGGTGTGTGCCAAAGCAGCTCGATACCCAGACGTGCTCGCGGCGTGGGAAGGATGGGGGGGTCCCAAGACCGTGTGGCGACGGACCGCGCGGTGACCTGGAAATCCCCACGGAGGCCTCGCCGCGCCTGTCCGTCGCCGCATGGTCTGGGGACCCCGGAGGCCCTGGTCGCTCGAGACGCCCTCGGAGCACGACCCCGAGTTCCAAACCGGTGCCGTGACCCCGCGTCCCCACCGACGCACCACGCGGGGTGGTCCGGCCGCCGTCGGCGCCCTTGGGGGGTTCCCGCCGGCGGCCAGGGCCGTCCACAAAAAACGGCTCGGGGTGAGAAAAACTGGCCCTGGGTGCGCGGCGGGAATTTGTCCATATCCACCGCCTGGGAACCGACGCCCTGGTGCCCCAGCGGGCGGTGGGATATGGATACATGTGTGTGTATATATATATATATATATGTGTGTATGTGTGTTGGCCCCCGGGGACCCGAATGTATCCATATCCACCGACTGTGGAGGTCCGCGAAGATCGATCCTACAGGCGGTGGTTATGGAGAAATCCTCTCCTCGGACTGGGGAAATAGACGAGCGCGTTCCACCACGCACAGAGTAACTACTCTTCGCAGAAGGCCTGGATCCGCTTCGGGGGATCTACGATCTCTATTGAGCCGAGGCGAGCATACGACTTTCCGGCGTTTGCGAGTAGACACTTTGCAATGAGTGCAACGCGCTCGGTGAGGACAGGGTTTGGACTTCCGCGGGCCCCATACTGAACAAAGATAAGACAGGACACGTCTGGGTAAACGCTGCTGCATGTGACAGCAGGCAGGCTTGAGCCAGATCGAGTCGGGAAATTGGATCACATGTGGAGCGGATCGGATCGCCAACGGATCACCCCGAGTCGAGTCCAAAGGGGATCGCCGCACCCGGCTCTGGCTGGCCCTGGCCGCTGCCGGTGCATCGAGACGGGTCGAGTCGAATCGGAGGCGTGGGCCCCGCCCGCGAATCGAACCGCATCGCAAGCGGCCCTGCCAGCACGCGCGGGAGTGCATCGAGCCGGTCTGGCACACGGCCGGCGTCGCCCAGCCTGCATCCACAGCGGGGACTTCGTGGGGCCGCCCGCGACGAGGACGGCGGCGCCGCGGCCGCGGGCGTGCCCCGGCGCCACGACCTCCAGCAGGGAGCGGTAGGCGTAGGCGACGCCCTCGAGCATGGCCCGGAACATGTCCGCCTGCGTCGAGGCCAGGGAGAGGCCGAGGAAGCCGCCGCGGGCGTCGGGGTCCAGGAACGGCGAGCGCTCCCCGCCCAGCCAGGGCAGGTACATCACCCCCCGGCTGCCGGGCTCGGACTCCGCGGCCAGCGCGCAGATGCGCGCGTAGTGCTCCTCCGCGGGCGCCTCCCCGGCGGGCCGGAACGCCTGGCGCGCCCAGTCCAGGGCCCCCCCGGCGGTCATGGTGGACGCGGCGGAGATCGCCAGGCCACGCTCGGTGGGGTGCTCCAGGACGAAGGCGCCGGTCCGGCCCAGGGCCTCCTCCCGAGGCTCCGTCACGGCGACCCAGCCGGAGGTGCCCATGTAGGCGTAGGGCGCGCCAGGCACCCCGGCGCCCACGCCGCAGGTCGTCGAGCCGGCGTCCCCGCAGCCGTGGAACACCGGCACGCCGGACAGGGCAGGCAGGCCCAGCGCCTTGGCGGCAGCGGGCGACACGTGCCCGACGATCGCGTCGGAGCGGACGATGGCAGGCAGCAGAGCCTCGAGGTCCACTGGCAAATCTTGCTGGAGGGACGGGGAAGCGGTGACCACGGCCAAGACGGCACGCCGAAACGTCGGTGTCGATCTTGGTCACCGTCCACCTTGGTCACCGTCAATTCGTGGATCCTCCTCGCGAATCGGCGACGGCCGGCATGGGCCATGACCAAGACCAGCGTCGACAGGATCCCACGACATCTTGGCCAGTGTCTTCGTGCTCCTTCCCTCGACTGGCAGCAGCGCCCGGAGCAGCTCGAGGCAGTAGCCGCCGTCGGGCCCCAGCAGCCCGGTGGTGGAGGCGGTGACCGCGTCGGTGGCGCGCGCGCCGCACAGCCGCAGGGCCACGAAGTCGTGGGCGCCCAGCAGCATCTGCGCGGCCTGCGCCACCGCCCCCGGCTCGTGGTCCAGCAGCCAGCGCAGCTTCGGGGGCAGCGCCAGCGCCCCCTTCCAGTTCACCGCCCGCGAGGCCAGGGCCTCGGCCCCGCCCGCCAGGGACTCCAGCGCGGCGGCCTCGGCCTTGGCCCGAGCGTCGTTGTACTGCATGGCTCGGAGCAGGGCGAGCTCAGACCCAGGTGGCTCAAAGCCGGCCCCCAGATCAGACCCCTCGCGGGGCCCGAACGCACCAATGTCTCGAGCTGCGCCCAGCCGCGGCGACGAGGAGGCCCCCCGAAGGCCAGCTGCCGCTGTCTCCACCCTCGCCCTCCTCCGCATGGACGGGCGCAGGGGCTCGCCCTGCGGGTCCACCAGCACCAGGCACTGCATCATGCCCGTCAGCGCCACCGCCGCCACCGTCCGCGGCGCCAGCTCCGCGAGCCGCGGCGCCAGCTCCGCGCACGCGGCCGCCATGGCGCCCCACCAGTCGGCCGGCGCCTGCTCGACGGTGCCGTCGGGCAGCCTGTGCTCCGCCGTCGCGTAGGGGGCCGAGGCGCAAGCCAGCGCGAGCCCATCGCGGCCCACCAGCACGACCTTGCAGCACGAGGTGCCGACGTCGGCGGCGAGCAGCACGGACATGGCCGCTCACGGGCCCCCGACGCACTCCACAGGGGCAGCGCTCTGCGCGGGCTCGACTGGAACCAACACGGGTGCAGAGACGGAAGCAGACGAGGGGGAGGAGGAGGAGGAGGAGGAGGAGGAGGAGGAGGAGGAGGAGGAGGAGGAGGAGGAGGAGGAGGAGCAGGAGCAGGAGGAGGAGGAGGAGGAGGAGGAGGAGGACGGGGACGAAGACGAGGACGACGACGACGACGACAAGAAGGGAGGGAGAAGGTAACAGGAGGACGAGGATGAGGAAATTGAGGTTGAGGAGTAGAGGAGGAGAGGGACCAGGAGTAGGAAAGGAGGGGCTTGGGGGTGGGGCTAACGCGAGGCGTGCAGAGGACCACTGCCGCGCGAAGCAGCGTTGCCGCCGCCAGGAATCACCGACAACGGACGAAGATACTGTTTGTATTATTTCTGGTAACGGTCGTTACCCAGAGGGGTGGAGGGGATGGGACTCCGGGTAACGGTAATGCTCGGGCGGGGTGGGGCACGTCGCCATAGCATGCGCGTGAGCTCTAGCATTTGGGGGGGGTCCAGGCCCTCCCCTGTCTACGTACGATCAGTATACCGTTGTCCAGGGGGGGGGTTGTCGGGCAACGACGGTTACACGCCTTCGGATACCAACAGAGACCTCGAGAGAGGGATGTGACGACCCAGTCTCTGCAAAAAGCACGGCTGCACTCAGCAGGGATCCTGGCGGAGCCCGCCCCGCGCTCTGGCTCCGCGGGCCGTCCGCCGCCCTCTCTCGCCGAGGAGGCTACAGCCGGGCCGCCGAAAGCAGGAACGCGATACAGGGAACGGAAGCCCTTTTTTTGGCCCCCCGAAAGCGCCTCCCCGTGCCCGAGGAGGGCAAGGAGGAGCAGCAACGGAGGCACCCGAGGAGCACCGAGCCCCTTCCGAATCCCAATCGCCCCTCATGTCAGCGTCTTGGCTGCAGGGCTAAGTCGAGCCTGTGCCCCTACAGGGGGATTGTCGACGAAAATTATCCCCGCAAAGCAACCTAACAGCGATGTGTAGGAGCATATCTGGAAGCATTCCCCTTAAGATTCAGATGAGAATCCAGTTGTAGAATTCTGCTGTTCTCGCAGTCGTAGTCGCATTCGCGATGACAGTCGCAGTGGCAACGGCAGTCACAGTCACAGCCTCAGCCTCAGCCTGCCTCAGCCTCAGCCTCAGCCTGCCTCAGCCTCAGCCTGCCTCAGCCTCAGCCTCAGCCTGCTTCAGCCTCAGCCTCAGTCTGCCTTCAGCCTCGGCCTCAGCCTCAGCCTGCCTCAGCCTCAGCCTGCATCAGCCTCAGCCTCAGCCTCAGCCTGCCTCAGCATCAGCCTGCCTCAGCCTCAGCCTCAGCCTGCCTCAGCCTCAGCCTCAGCCTGCTTCAGCCTCAGCCTCAGTCTGCCTTCAGCCTCGGCCTCAGCCTCAGCCTGCCTCATCCTCAGCCTGCCTCAGCCTCAGCATCAGCCTGCCTCAGCATTCAAAATGTGGCCCGGGAATGGAGTTCTGGGAACTCGAAGAACACGAAGTGGCCTACAGTTGGCTCCGGGCATTCAAAATCATGCCCAGGAATGGAGTTCTGGGAACTCGAAGACCACGAAGTGGCCTACAGTTGGCTCCGGGCATCCAAAATGTGGCCCGGGAATGGAGTTCTGGGAAGTCGAAGAGCACGAAGTGGCCTACAGTTGGCTCCGGGCATTCAAAATGTGGCCCGGGAATGGAGTTCTGGGAGGTCGAAGAGCACGAAGTGTTTGACTGTTGGCTCCGGTTATTCAAAATGTGGCCCGGGAATGGAGTTCTGGGAGGTCGAAGAGCACGAAGTGTGTGACTGTTGGCTTAAAACGAACCCGGTTCTGTTCCCGGTTCTCCTCCCCGGCACCCGCCCAGACCCCCCTGAGGAGTCATGATGCTCTCTTTTGACCCTACTAGAAACCTATCAGCAAAAGCTGTTAGGTAAAAACAAAAAATACCCCAAAGATGCCCCAGAAAGGCAACAAAAATACTCAAAAAATCATCCCCGGCTATTTTTGGAGCATGTTTGGACTATGTTTGGGGTATCTTTTATTTTTCGTCGAAAATATCCTGTAGGGGGACAGGCCCGACATAACTGTAGGGGGCAGCTCCTCGGTGCTCCTCGAGGGCGAGGCGCCCCCTCCGGAGCGGCCCAGGCCTGCGAGGAGCGGCTCGCGGCCCCGCGCGCGCGCGGCCACGAGCCGATGCCTGCGGCTCGGGGAGCCGAGCCTCCGGTTTGGACGCCCGAAATGCGCACGGAAATAATGGGTACAATGCCCAACAACACATGTTGTTCCAAGCCAAGAGCGGCCGCTTGTCGTTTCCCATGATTCACATGTTGGGCATGGCTTAATGGGGGGGTCACAAATGGGGGGGTCAGAAAAGGTCCCCTTTCGTGCCCTTTTCGGGCCCCTCCAGCGCCCCAGGGGGCTCGTTTAAGTACCGTTTGGGTACCTTTTCGAACCACCCTTGCCACCCCCCATTTATGACCCCTCCATTACGCGGCGCCCAAACAGTTATGGGAAGCGCAAATCCGGCTCATGGCGTGCTGCTTTCTCTTCAAAGGAGAACAGCGTGTCCCAGGATTCGCAGGGTTTCGCCCTGCGAGGGATGCGAATCGGGGACATTGCGGGATTGCTTTCGGGGGCGCGCAAACATGGATTAGCGATCCATGGATTTGGCGCGCGGTCGCCAAATCCATGGGATCGGGGGAGGTGCCCTCCCCGAAATTCGGCGGCGGAAATCCGCGATGTCCTGTGGAAACGGGACCCGTCGCTCTTCCCCCCCCTTTGATCCATGCTTGCGATCGCCTGAGACTTGGCGGCGCGCACAAGGGGGTAGGTGGAGGGGGGGAGGCTTCTCAGAAGGAGGCTGCTTCTCTCAAAAGGCGGCGGCCCCACGTGTACGGACGAGGCCCGCGCCTTCTAAGGAGCCACCGCCCCCCCGCCATCTGCGCACGCCCCGCCTTGCGCGTGGCCGAGCAGTGGGAGGGCAGAGGAGCCAGCCTCGGGATAGGAACGCGCACAGGCAAGGCCCCCCTGGTTGACCGCAGCGGCGAGGGGCAGCGAAAGGGGGGGGGATGGGCGTTAGGGGGCGGGGACGTCGACCTGGCATCGGCGGCACGTCGCCGATAGATCGGCGATACAGTCATCGGCATGACCTAAGGAACGATAAATAAGAAACGAAACCCCTTTTTAACCCAAGGAATAACACGTAAGGAACGATAAATAACAAATAACGCATAAGGAACCGTAAATCACGCATGCAAGCCTAAGCAACGGCCGAGCCCCTTTTTGAAAAGCATGCGTTCCTTATTCAAGCCGCTCGCTGTAGGCCCCCAAGAGGGAGCCCGCATGCGCCTCGGCGGGCTGGGGTCATCGGGCCCCCTATCGGCGAATCCATGGGCCATGGGGGGTCGATGCATCGCCCCCCTATATGCCCATGCCCCCCCCCCATCGTGGCCCCCCAACCAACGCAGGGAGCCGACCGGGGCAGGACTTCTTGGCACAGAAACAACGAGGTGGAGAGCATCACTAGAGATAGGAAGCAAACAACCACAACAACAACAACAACAACAACATCAACAACAACAACAATCACTTTACCCGAACGCTCAGTGTTCTCACCAGTGCCAGGGTTTTCATGCGACGCCAGCCAATACCCCCACTTTGTGGGGGGGCAGTGCAAGCTCTACCAAATATCCACACGACTCTTCGCCACCACCCACACCCAGCTTCCCGCCCTATGACGTTCGGACACTTCACTTCGTGGCCTGCGGACGACCGTGGCTACTACACTGGCGTGGAGTACACACCCACAGAAGTTGTTAAGCCTACGTTCGTACACCCACAGAAGTTGTTAAGCCTTGTTAACCCACAGAAGTTGTTAAGCCTTCCACAGAACATCTGTTGCATATGATGCATATGGTACATGATACACATGATACACATGATACGTACTCACAAGATAGTTGATCACATCTTTAGGGCAAATTCCTGAGGGATGTGGGAATACACAAGAGAGAGAGGATATGGTTGTCCCGATGGTTGTCTCGATGGTTGTCCCGATGGTTGTCCTGATGGTTGTGGTTGTCCCGATCGTTGTCCCGATGATTGTCCCGATGGTTGTCCTGATGGTTGTGCTTGTCCCGATCGTTGTCCCGATGACTGTCCCGATGATTGTCCCGATGGTTGTCCCGATGGTTGTCGTGTGATTTTATGATGCGCGGTGCTAAAATTCTTAAGAAGCCCAATGGTTTTTGGAGATTTCGGCGTGCGCGCGCGAAGAAAAAACGAATGTGTCCCGCATGGTATTATTTGACAGGGATGATGGCCCTGGCAGGTGCGCAACCGTTGTCGCAGAAGTTCGAAAAAGTTGTTCGCAAAAGCCCGTTTGACAGAAATGTTTAAAAAGTGTTGGGTTTCCTACGAATCCGCAAGAGCGCGCGGGATGAGATTTTGACATTTTTTGTTGAAAAACCATTGGTTTTTTGATGTTTT